CACAAACAGGCTGCTGGACCCAGCGCGAGCTGGGACTGAGCAGTCCCAGGTTGTGCCGGTCCGGGCCTGCTGCGGTGCTGCATTTTAAAAGTAGTAAGAGCTGGCTGGCTCTTGCTACCTTTAAAATGGTGAGTTGCAGCAGTCCGGAGACGGCGTAAGCTGCTTGGTCCTAGCTTGTGCCAGCTCCAGGAGCTATCTCTCCCCTCCCCCAGCTCTGCAAAGCACCTTCTCTTATCAACCAATCATGTAGTCCAGGGGTTCTCAAACTTTGTGATACCGTGACACCCCCCCCTCTAAGTTGCTCACGACCTCCCCCCCAGGGGGTCGGGACCCACAGTTTGAGAAACGCGGATGTAGTCTATACAAATTGTATCAACTACACGATTAGCCAAATAACCGCTCCTTGACATCCTTATCCTAGGTCAGGGGTGGGATCTCTGAGGGAGGTGACTCACAGTTCGGGGACTCTCTTCAGGAGGACTTGCAGGTAACTGGACTTACAAGTCCGGGGAACTCTCCTCTGCTGGTTACTAGGTATGTTAGATAGCAATTTAATAATTGTGTAACCGCATCCATTTTAGCAGGTACACAATAGTCCCTAGGTGCTGGGTTGGCAGCCTTTGTGCTCTTGGCCCCACTCCTGGGGAGCCCTCTGCCATCCCGTGCGTCTGCCTCTCTATTAAAGGCAGCAGCCCTCTGTCCATGGTGACCCCAGGCCTACTGTGGACAGAGGCTGTTCTGTTGCAGCCTTCCCTGCCTGCTTCCCACTACCTCTTTGGGAGGAAGCAAGGGGGACAGGTGGCTTTGCAGAGCTAACACAGGCAGAGAACTGGAATAAAAGCTGGCTCCCCACATGTATCCATTCCTGCCTTCCACGCCCTAGCCCCAACCTGCAATGATGCCTCTGAGGGAGAGGCAGCAGCATGGTGGTGAGGGGAAGACGGCTCCGTGGGATCTGATCCGCATGGGAAGCCAGCTTGAAAGCTGGCTTTCTGTGTGTACTGGCTGCTGCCTGCCCCTTCCCCTTCTGAACTGCTGCCTCTCTATAAGAGTCACCAGTGCGTGCAGGGGGAGGGAGGGGTACTCTTCAGGATCTGGTTCTTGTGGGGAACCATCTTAAAAGCAAGGGGGAGGGTAGTATGTGTAGTTGATAGGATTAACGAATAAGCCCAGGTTTATTTGTTAATCATGTAGTCTACTACATAGTGGTTACTAAGGACAGGTGGGGTTTTTACTGGGAGCCTAGATGTGGGATGCAGGACTCCCAGGGCCGGACTAAGGGGTGGGTGAGCCGGGCAGCTGCCCGGGCTCCCG